TGTGTGTATGTGTATGTATGTGTGTATGTGTGTATGTATGTGTGTGTATGCATGTGTGTGTGTATGTGTGTGTATGTGTATGTGTGTATGTATGTGTATGTATGTGTGTATGTGTGTGTATGTGTATGTGTGTATGTATGTGTATGTATGTGTGTATGTGTATGTATGTATGTGTATATGTGTATGTATGTGTGTATGTATATTTTTATGTATGTATATGTGTATGTGTGTATGTGTATGTATGTGTGTGTGTATGTATGTGTGTATGTGTATGTGTATATGTATATGTGTGTGTTTGTGTGTGTATGTATGTATATGTGTATGTGTGTGTGTGTATGTGTGTGTATGTTCGTGTGTGTATGTATATGTACGTGTGTGTATGTGTGTAAAAAGAATTCAGCCACTTCCTAGACCTGGTTTGTTTCATTTTACTCTAGGGTTCTACTGGGAAAGTACTTGCAGAATTACAGACCTTATCACTATGGCCCATCAAGGTGGCCTCATTAGCACATAAGAAGTTGAAATCCCAAGAGTCAGCATTTTGGTATTATGGTGATAAGCCTTTTAAAAATGCCTTTGGGCGGACAGGACTGATTTATTAGAGATTTTTGGAGGAACATCTTGAATAATAATACATAACAGATTCTAGATGGGTGGACAGCAGTATTGCAGAGATTGGAAGAGCCTGGAGGCAGGAGGTAGACTCTTACCAATAAATCAGTGTAGCAGTGAATATCAGGTAGAAAACAGAAGATATTTTGCATTATGCTAAACCACCACTGACTCAATTGCATTCAGAAGTGGTTTTGAGGGTTAGTTCTTCATTTCAATCAAAAAAAAGTTAAGCACGATGTCAAAATCCCAGTAAATCACTGCATTCATATTGAAGTCAAATTAAAGTTACACTTGTAAACCAATGATAAAATCAGGTATTTGATTTTGTTTTTTTGTTCGAGGGTGCATAAATGCACAAATAAATTAAAAACTATTTCCTCCACTCACCTCTTACCCAACTTGAAATGTGAGAAATATCTTTATGAAGCTCTAAAATAGCCAGATACATAGCTTCCATAACCTATGTTTTATGGACATACTGTAAAGTCTATAGAACTCTCCCCTTCCACAGTACAAACACTTCCCCTTTACATGTTGGCATCTCTTTTAGGCTAGGGCCAGACATTCAGAAAGCCTGAGCCTGAATTGATTCAGTCTTTGCAGGTTAGTCTAACCTGCAGAGAGTGAACTGGTTTGCAAGTGGATAGCCACTCTGCACCACACCTGCAGCTCCGCACTCACAAAGGGTAAGCCCCACATTAGACTCTGCGGGGAAGCAGGGGGCAGGGCTCCCTCCACTCCCGGCAGAATATGGGACCTGCACAGCGGGGGTGGGGGAAGCAGCTGGCTCCAGTGTGGGGCCTCCCCAGCTGCAGGCTCAGGCTCAGAGAGCAGAGCTGCAGGGATAAGGCAGGCTCCACTCCCTCCTCCTGTGCAGCACTGGCCAGAGCCATGCCTGTGCCCAGCACCAGCACCCTGACCACCGTGCCTACTGCTGCTGCCAGGCAGTGGGGGCTGCACACCATGCGGGTATTATGGGGGGGGGTCACTACACCCCCCACTCTTCCTCATACCCACATCCTGCCCAGCTGAGCTCCACGATCCTGCTGCCCCTCTGGGGGGAGGAGGAGGAGGGGGGGGGGGGGGGGGGGGGGGGGGGGGAGGAAGAGTTCCCCCCAGCATGGAACAGAGCTTCCCCCTGCCACCCGCCCCCACTCCGGGGATGGGCACCATTGCATGGAGCCCCCCCAGCCCCATGGTGGCAAGGAGGGGGAAGGGAAGGAGGAGAAAGAGTCCCCGTCCAGTGCCTCACAGAGTTCCCTTCCCCACCCTGGGAGGAGGAGGGGGAACAGTCCCCCCCCAGCATGGAACAGAGCCCCCCCTCCCCACCCTGTGGGACAACCAACCCAGCATGGCCCCATTAAGGTGAGAGAGAGAGAGTGAGAGCGCAGAGGGGCGAGGTCAGCCCTGTGACTGGAGCAGAGAGCCCCTCTCAGCCCAGAGAGCATCCTGGGATGCTGGGGGTGTCTGGTTCATCTTAAACCAGTAAGGGATCTGGGACAGACATTGCATAAACTGGTTTGACCCAAATCAGTTAAGTCTGATACTACATTCAACTAGGTTTCTCTCAAACCGGTTTTGGCCATTTTAAAACTGGTTTATGTGCGCTGAATGTCTGTTCCGTTACAGGTTTAAACCAGTTTCTGATCACCTAAACCAGTTTATGTGTAATGTTTGTCCCTAGCCTTAGAGAAAAGACCCAGCATCCTGGGTCTTCTAAACAAGGGCTACCCAGGACCTGAAGCTGCCCCCCTCCCTCAACTGTTAAGGTTGGTTCTTTGAACTGCTCCTATTTCCCACTTCTTAATCATACTTAGAATGAATTAAGACTAATTAAGATTAATTAAGAACCAAGACTAACGTTCTCTCTTGTTTCCTTCCCAAGGGTAATTTAAAGGATGCTGATGATCCAAGCACTAGCATTGGAGCCTACCATTATATGTTGGAGTCAAATATTGGGAAAACAATGCTGGAATTCCAGGTACAAGGGCTTCCAGATTTGTTCATATTTGAATAAGTAGGTCTATAGACAATGAGATGTATAGGCTGAACAAGATCAAGATGGAACAGTGAGGCCCATTGTCCTTCTGTTCAATTGCTTTGCTTTTATTTTGCCTGATTTGAAGATGCCGCCCTTCAAGGCTTGGCTGTCTTGTTGACATTCATGCAAATGCTACAGATATAGCTAAAAAAAAAGTGTGTCATGTATCCTGTGGATAAACATAAAACATAAGGCAGCTGGACCAGAAAAAAGAACCTCTAACAGGAAGAATTGTGGTGGCTAGAAGATGAAGCAAGAGAGTAAGAGAGCATGGCAGGAATCTATTTAAGCAGGAAACAGTAGTACAGATCAACTAAATGGTGTTTCTAAACAGGATACAGCCTGCTACTTGTAATCTTTAAAATCTATCCAGCATCAAAGTATATTATAACTTAACTACTATAGTCATGATTGCAGGTTGGCCAAATACTGAAAGCTCATCTATATTGGTTCTTAAAAATGGAAAAGGGGCTCTTATTCCTCTTAACTTTACTATTTGGTGGTGGAATCACATGAATGGACCCACTTAAAATTAAACCTTGCAAAATTACACAGCATGCAGACCAAGAAATAATCCTGCATTCACTAGCTGAACAGCACCACTGAATAAGCTTTTCCAAATTCACATGGTAAATGTCATGGCATTTATTTGCTATTTGAGTAGAAGTTGGAAAAACCTCAGCTGATTTGTATGGGGTTTTGTATCAAGCAATAGTTGCTTTTCAGATATGTGCTGTGGGCCATGTGGCAAAGCAAAATGTGGAAAATTTAATTAAAATCAAGTTTCAAATCTGAAGGTGTCTATATACTGAAGGTGCTCAGAGCTGGGGTGGAGGAGGGGTGTTTTAATTAGAACAGCTCCCAGACAGTCACTCTAATTAAAATGCCATAGCATCACATGTATTCAACATCCCGCATTTCAAAATGGCTGTGAAGGCACTTTAACTGAAAGTTGCTCAACAAGTTTTAGTTAAAGCACTCCCGCCACCACTGTTTACCAGTCCAAATACTGGTGCTAATTAGTGTTTCAGTGGCCGGCTCCAGGGGCTCAAACTGTCCTGGAGGGTTCCTGGAGCCAGTGAATAGGGAACCTGGGGTCATGATCCCAGGCTTCTCCTGTAATGACAAGTAGGGCATGATTGCAGTCTGATCCTGATCCCAAAATCATGCATCGTGTCATACACATGTGGAATGGCAGGGAGCTTGATTTTTGGGATCACAGGTAAGAACTCATCACACCTTTAACTGAACATGTGTCAGTGGCCTAATTTCCCACATTCCAGGCAAGTATCCTAACCGTTCATCTTCTGGGGTCAATGTCTTTTTTTATGGTTCCAAACGTACTGGCACTGGTCTTTTCTTTGGATTAAAGCAGAAAGGCTAAGAGGGGGACACTGGTGTGTGGGCAGATCAGTGTCTCCACATATACTGCTCAGGCTTTTGCACCCTGGAGAGATGACTCCAATTTCACTTATTTTCAAGCTAAAATTATGTTCAGCGAGCTGATAGATGGTGCTTACATCTGGATGGTCATACACCTTTCATTAATCCATTACACCCTTTAACATTTTAGGGTCAGCTTTGCTTATTTCTGTAACAACTTTTAGATATCAAATAGTCACCGTTCCACTCATCTTAAGAGAGCAAAGTTGCCGCTTTTGAATCAGTAATCTCAATAATCTTCTCATTCTACAGGAGCTGATGATAGTCTTTCAACTGCTGCATTGGAATGGAAGTCTTAAAGCCCTACGTGAAACAAAGTGCTCACGCCAGGTAAAATGTCACAGTGGCCAACCACCTTCACGTGTACAAATAGTTTATATGACTGAGAACTGAGATTCAGGGACTCAAATAACCAGGAACAAATTTGTGCAGAGCACAGGTTCTAGGAAAAATTAAATTATTTAGATTTCTGTCCCCTGTATTTATCTGTTGCTATTTGCTTCGCAAAAGCTGAATTCTCAGTTGACCAAAAAAGGAAAATAAATGAGTAGAACTGTCAAAGTACTATACAGTATAGCAGAACAATATACTATAGTTCACAGAATTTATTCTGAAATCTTTCATTTTTATGGAAATATTTGGAAGCATATTGAGTTAAAACACTTTCAGCATTACTTACATTTATTAAATTAAAAAAGTCAATACCATATTACATATTTAAAGATCATTTGTGCACCCTATGCCTTACATTGTACCATGGGAAATGATGATTTAAAATTACTTTTCATAAAGTGGACTCTCAGTTGTTAGTTATTCTATTAAAAATATGCATTCTGCCTCCCATTCAGCTGAATAGGGCATTTGTTTCCTACTCTTAAAAACATAGTGCTGATTCAATATTAAGCTTTATTAAGTGATTGCAATATATTTTCAGATATGTGACTGGATTTTAGGCATGGCTGATCTGATCTCTTTGTGGAGTTTGCACATATATTTGAGACCTTAACCATAGGAGGTGATTCACAAGTACAGATTTTTACTTGTATGCAGGTCTTTACAAACACAGGTCTCAATCCTGGAAAGACTCATGTGCTTAGCTTCATATCGGGATAGCCCTACATGGGTTAACAAATCTCCATATTGTTGAACATAGGCATACATCTTTTCAGAAGCAAGACTTGTGTTAGTAAAATAAATTTGAAATTTCTTCCTGGTGAACAATGAATAATATGGAAACATCTTTTTTGTCATAGTATTAATGGTACATTTAATTAAATGATTGTTTTAAAAGTTCAGAAGACTCTTTTAAGATGTCATATTTTAAAATTCCATGTTTCAGAGGTGTAGGTTGTAGCCGTGTTGGTCTAAGGACATAGGAAGACAAGGTTCGTTGGGCAAGTCCAAAATCTTTTATTAGACCAACTCTAATAGTTAGAAAAATTCTTCTTGGCAAGCTTTTGGGCACAAACCCCCTTTGTCAGGCTTCCTCAACAGGCTCTCTCAGCCTGACAAAGGGTGGTTGTGCCCAAAAGCTTGCTAAGAAGAATTTTTCCAACTATTTGAGTTGGTCTAATAAAAGATATTAGATTTATCCAAAGAATCTTGTCTACCTATATTTTAAAATTAACATTTTAAATTTCTCATTGTTAGTTTTTTTTAAAGCTTCATTTAGCTATCTGTGTTTGAAAGGTATCAGTTTGCTGGTATCCCTTAGAATTTCAGTGAGATTTGCTAAAGTACCAGAATGAAGGCTAAGTAATACTATTAGACTGTTTGATTAAAAAGAAGAGCATATCCATCAGTGACTGACTTACTCTCTCTGTTGTAAATTTCTTGGATAACAGGAAGTAATTTCCTACTATTCCCAGTATTCCTTAGATGAAAAGATGAGAAGTCATATGGCTCTGGACTGGATTATGAAGGAGCAAGAATCTACAGGAATTATTTCCCAGGAGCTACAACTGTCACTTCGAGAGCTTGAGGAAGCCAGGAAAGCTGGACAAGAACTGAGGTTTTACAAAGAAAAGAAAGAAATACTGAGTTTAGCACTGACCCATCTCTACAGTGATCAAGTTACCACATATTCAAACAATGGTGATCAAATGTACCTGACCCTAAACGGGTCTCACAGCCTTGCTGCCTTGAAGTAGGATTATAACAGTGAACTCTAACATACTAATCCTTGGTGATTAGGCCATGTATGGAAGTAGTAGAAGTTGCTTTCCTTTGCCGTTTTAAATTATGAAACCACTAGACTTGAGAAAATCTTATTTTTGAAGGCAGGTATTATTTTCCTGCTTCAGGCCAGCACAAAAGTACTTTGGTCATTTAGTATATTAATGTTATTACACTGTAGATAGCTTGAGGACATCCTGGAGAAAACTTAGTGATGGCAATTACACACACACACACACACACACACACTTTCTGGCCTAACTATGTATATTTGTTGATCAGTGCAAAACTTTCCTCAGGTTACAGAGATATAAGGGATATTTAGTCTTAATGCCCAAGACAGTCCTTCTGATTAAAAAACATAAAACAAAATAGCATCACTACATTTGCAACAACACACTATTACAGTATTTGTTATCTTACCTAGCTCTGTTAACACTAGATCAGCAGTCAACAGCATTGTGGCAGGCTAGAATGGCCCAGCTTGTGTCCAAGGTGGGGCCAACATTAGGACATAGCCGCTACCTGCTTCTTGCTGCTGTCCAGCTTCAGTGCAGTGTATGCAAAGCCCCACCACCACCAAATGCCACCAAGGCACACTACCAAAACACCAGCCTCAATGGTTCACATCCCATAGGCCATAGGTTGTTGACCTGTGCATTATTATTTGGATTACTGAAGTCCAAAAACGTAAGCAAAAGACGGCCAGCAGTATTGAAATGCTTTGTCTCCTACCATGTAAAATAGAGTATGAATAAAAAATACCAGTAGCTTATTTGCAGGGATTGTTTAAGGACATGTTTCTGAAGCTTCAGTCTAGCAAATCCCTGTCTTGGCAGTGTAGAAGTGATCTTGTAGCTGTGATGGTCCAGAAAATATGTGAGGGGCAAGGATTCTTATGAGTGATATCTTTTATTGAACTGTGCAGTTGGTCCAATATTATCTACAAGAGTCTTTGCCTCTCACAAAATTCTGCCTTAACACTTTTGTCATGTATTTTTAAGTAGTAGAGATGGGTATTTTGAGACTATATGACTTTTTAAAAGAAATGTAAGTAAAGTTAGGATACAGGTAGGTACTGAGTAAACTAAGAGTTGTTCAGCCGGCATGATAGAGTTTCTGCTGTTAGAAGGAGATGGAAGCCCATGGCAAGAGAACTTAATCTACCTACAGAGAGAAGAATTTTACAAAGTGTCAGTTTTTTTGTATAGTGTATCAATTCTTTGGGAGAATGGTGTCTTTATTCTGTGTTTGTACAATGCCTACCACAATGGGACCACTTTCGCAGTTGACTGCTGACATCACCAAAGTAAATAAAATAAATAAAATGTGATTAATGCCAGCCTTCCCGGACTTTGGGTGGAAATTAGTCACTAAGTATCCTGGGAGGGAAAGAAAAACTATCATTCCTATTGTGTGTTCCAGCAGCATCTATGGAAGGATAGAAAAGAAACCAGCTGTTGCTTCAGAATCAGTTGGGACCAAGATTATGTGTTTTGAATTCTGACTTTGTTCTTTCTTTATTTCTGTTCATTTAAGAAACTTATGTTTTAATGAGGAACCATCAAGTATGAGAGTTAACCACAAACAGAAGTCTACCTTACAGAAACATTTCACCATATTAAACTGGAGAACGTCTACAAGCACAATTCAAATTCTTAAATGGGAATCTTGCCCATTATGTCACTGACATAGAAAGTAAAAATCTTCATTATTAATTATTCTGGTTCATCAAGGGATAAACTATGCAACTGTCTGGCTCTAAGAGTAAAAGTAATACATCCCCTTTTCATTAAGAAAACATTAACCTCTTATAACATGAACCCCTTTATTCAGGGTGGGTTTCAAGTTTGCAATAATTCAGCAAGCATAATGAGTCTTACACAGCATCAGTACCAGCAAATTACACAGGCTCCATTTTGTATTTATGATGATTATTTTAACTGCCTATTTTACTCCCAATATGGTGGTTAAGCACCACAAAGTATTTAAAATAGCAGAACACGAATGTCAATGTATTGGAAAAACTGTATGTACACTTTTGTCTCTTGGATATGGAAATAAGCACTTGTACTGGACACAAAATGGACAGATCACTTCTGACAAGCTTTTCAAAGCTAAAAGTTTAATTTTTTCAATGTTAAAAGTTTAATTTTTCCTAACAGCTACTTCATTCTAAGAAACGGAATGATCCAGCCATAGAGAAATCAATACAGCTATGCAAAGCCAAAGTAATACTGAAATGATGAAATTCTGCATAACAGCACATTGTGCTACTGCGAAGTAACTGAATAATGTAATGTGCTTTCTGGTGGATACAGCATTCAACTCAGAGGAAATAAATGATGACTACTTTCCCTATTTCTGTTTTCCCCCCGTTTCAGTCATGTTTCTCCCACACCTTTTGCCTGATCCTGGGAGTGCTGACCCTGCTGCTCAAGCACTTTGGAGCATCAGATCCCTTGCATGTTTGTCATATACTTTTCATCCTGTTTTTCCTTTGTTACTAATCAATATTAGTATTCTAGCAAAACATGCACTCCCTCCAGCTCATCTTCCCAGGGGACTCTTGTGTTGTAGGCCCAATAGTTTATGTTGTACCAATACATCAACAGTCTATCATTACAAACTAAAACTGTTATTGCCTACATAGAATATACAATAGGTAGAGTCTGCATACTAATTTATCTATTCTTTATATTTCATACCTTATTTTGATACTGAACTCAAGAGATACTGATATGTGGTTAGCAAGATTCTCTGGAAATAAATGATGTATTGAGAGAGAGACTATTGTACATCTTCCCTGTATTTATATATTGCAATACAGTGAGTTGCCAGATGTTATGGAGATATCAAATCATCTTAGTGTGCAACCACAGAACTTTTTCAGTGGGACACTTAAGTAAATGATGCTCAAACATTTTATGGAATTCCATTGCTGCCCCGGGGACCTGGGAAGCAAAGGACTATAGTAGCTTATAATAACTAAAAGCCAGAGGGCTATAAAATGTTTCCCTCTTTGCTCCAGTGCTTGAACTCTTTACCTTTCCAAGAAGAATTAGGAAACACAACTCTCAGCTCCTTCTTCACAAAGGCATAAAACCACAACAGTAGATTTAATTCCCTGAATAGAATAATGTATTGCATTCAGTTAAATTCCACAGCAATGACAAAAAATATTAGTTACTTTAATTAGTGGACAGACAAAAAAAGATCCTGCTCTCATTCTTTCTGATTTATTCATGTTCCCATGTATTGGAATATTCCTATTAAAAGACTTGAATTATATGCCCTATTAGACAGGACTTTTACTGACAGTGTCAGCCTGTCTGTTTTTTACCAGCTGTTTGTAAAAAGCCAGGGCTCCTTTGCTGGCACACCATTAAAAAGAGGCTTAAGAAGGCTCCGTCTTGCTACATGAGCCACTTCATCCCAGGCATTGCTGTTCTCACACACATTAAAAGTTGGGTTTGTAGGATCCAAAACAAATGGCCTGAGAAAGAAAAGATAAGAATCAATATAGATGTCACTACCAAATCTGAGATCCATTTAGTATGACTCAAATATAGTACTGATTTAGATATATAGCCAATGCAGAGTTAGTCCAGTATCATGAGTAAGTAACTGTTTTTATCTTAAAATTAAAGAAAACTGTTGTTTCAAATATATTGTAAAAATCAAGGTAATTGAAGATATATTCGGTACCTAAAATAAGACACCATTGGATTTTTGCCTCATCTATTCTATTTCTACTTCACTAGTGTCCTTAACAGTGATGTAGGTTCCTTCTACACTTTACAATAATTGCATAATTAAGTGGTTAATTGTGGAGACCAGCTACATGTGCAAAGTAGCTATCATGCCATAAAAAGCTCCAATTAGACCTCAAAAATCTGTACTAACTCTACAGCTGGTTACTATGCAGTTTTAATTTGCACATGTAGCAGGGTCTGCCCCTGTGGCTGGGAGCCCCAATGACTGACCAGGTTCCCAGCCACAGGGGTGCACCATGCCCAGCCAAGGCTAGGAGTCCCACAGCTGAGGGTCCCAACAGCACTCCATGGTGCTGGGACACAGTCCCTCAACTGTGGACACTGGGTCCCAGCACTGCCCTGTGATCTCTCAGCCACAGGGGCACCCCACGCAGTCCCAGGGCTGGGAGATGGTAGCTGCTGCAATCCTCCAGCTGTAGGGGCACACCACACACCCCCAGACTGGGAGAACCCTTAGAGCAACCCCACAATGGGGCTCCCAGCCATGAGTGCCTGCTTCTTGCCAGTGCAGGGGGAGCCTGGGATGAGGCTTCCTCTGCACCAGCAATAAGGTACAATGGAATCTAATACACGATCTCACCGTTATGCCTCCTGCCATGTGCACATGCAGGGCAGAGCCCAGGATCAGGCTCCCCCCTGCACTGGCACTAAGTCATGATGGGATCTAATATGTGATCCCACATTCACACTTCTAGCCATGCATGTGTGATGATTCGTGGATTGCACATTCGAGCCCAACTTGCCTTTATCTGCACATGTAGAAGGGCTCTTATATCCCCATCCTCCTGCTCCTTCCTTTATGAAGTTATACATTAAGCAAGCCTCCCAAGAGGCCTGCTTACCCTCTCAATGAGCAAAGAAAGCACAGTTTGGAGTGAATTTGATAATGCATGGGCCATGAAGTTAAGGCAGGAGGAGTTTTGAGCTTTTCATTCTCAACTAATTTTCATTATTGGCATCACATAGCATCATCTGTTTACTTTTTCCAGTTTCTCTCTCTCTTCAAGCTAGTATTTAAATAACAAGTATTTTTAATAAGTACGTGAAAGAAAAAAATGGTAGTTATATATGCATATGCAGCTTTAACTGCATCTCATGAGCATCTTTCATGATCGTAGTAGCTAGGGTCAGGAGGGACCTGAACAGATCATCTAGCCTGACCATGATATATCACATTCACAACATTTTCTACAAATTTCAACATGTGCAAGTTCCTGTTATACTGAATATACCGTACACAACTCACTTATATGAAAAGTACAAACTAGATTGTACCTACAAACAGATAAAATATATTAAGGAAATAATAATGAAAAAATGCTAGGGGATACAGAGTAGTTTGGTTTGCAGATTATAATTAACTACATTCTCTGAATCGCTGCTATCCAAAGCTGGAATACTGATTGAAGAGAAAATATGTAGCACAAGTGCTAACAAAATTATTAAAATGCATACTGTAGACCAGAAAAGGAAGCTCAATACTTAAGAATTCTGTCAAGATGCATGAGATTATTAGGACAATATTCATACCATTATAAATATTAAAACTATTATAAAATTTTTGGCATCATGGATATGCAAGGGCAGATCCAGGATTTTGTAAAAGGGAGTGTTGAAGCAGTGATCAACACTTCAGGGGAGGCTGCACTCCTTCTTCCAGCCTCCCCACCACACACTAGGGTGGGCAGACCACACTGTAAAGGCCACAGCCAGAGACATTTTTTAAATCCTGAATCAAGTAAGAATCCTGCCCCCCTTTCTTGGTGCCCCCTCCCTCCCCTTCCCTTCCTTTCTTTCTCTCCCCTACCTGCCAAGCCACTGTCCCCAGCTGACCCAGGGGTGGGAGAAGCTCCAAAGCTGCTTCTGCTCCGCTCCAGTAGGACTGTACAGGAAGCCAAGCTCAGCTGGAGACAATGGCAGTGGTGAGTGGGTTTCTCCTCCCTGACTGTGCACCTAGTCTAGTGAGGAACGCCCTGGGAGATTAGACAGGGAGGAGGACCATGCAGCTTGACTGGAGGGGCTCTGGGGCACTCTCCCTTTGGGTCAGCAGGGGACAGCAGCAGTGGTGAGTGGGAAAAGGGGATGTGCCTCTGAGAATGATGAGGAAGGAAGGGGGGGAGTGGGGGCGCACATGGATTTTTACCTGATTCGGTAAAAGTCCCCAGCTGCTGCTTCCACAGCATGGGCCAAAACAGAGGTGCAACCACACAAAAGCACCCCCTACTGATCTGCCCCTCTGTTTATGAAAGGTTTTCTACAAGGAATATGATCAATAGACACAACATGTAATTACATAATTGAAAATTAACATGCACACAAGACCCGCACAATAATGATCTGTATTACTGTAGAACCCTGGTTGTGGACCAGGACCTCATAGTCCTTCCTAGGCATGATCAAAACAGCATATGAAAAAGAAAAACACCACAAACAAACAGGAAGCTTCACTCTGAAGGATTCTTAATCCCCGCTGACATTCCTGACATTGGCCATAGTATTTGTAAAATCCATAAGTTGGAACAAAGATGTTAGCTACCACTGGAAGTGATAGTTTAGCAAACATTTAGCTATTCTATAGCTCTTAGGAGGTCTTCTGAAGGAAGTCATTATCCTGTAAGGAGAATTCACAGTCATCATGCCCAAACCATTAAATGTCTCAAATGAATCTTCACAAAATGCAGAGCAGCCTTCTCTCACTCTTTCAGATGTCCTTCCTATAATTAAGTTACTGAAGTCTATTGAGCAGGTGGGAAGCATGTTTCCTTGCCTGTGTATCTGCTTATCAGCCAGTCTGATTACATGGGTTTTGTCCTTCATTGTGCAGCAATATGCGAGAGTGGTCCATGCTCTGAGATGTATGTCACATTGTGTACCGAAACCGTAACTATAATTCTAAGGGAAATGCCCCCAAAACTGTTTTGACACAAACTATGAAGGCACCATGTGCCTGTTAAAAAAGACATTTTCATGTTTTAATGGAGGCTTGCTTTGCCTTCCATGAACCTGAGAGGAAGAAAACCAAATTCAGCTATACAGAAATATAAGCATTATGAGTATATTAAAATGATGGCAGAATTTGTCATATTGTTACCTGGTTTGTTTCTTCAACACCTTTTTGAAAGTTGTGCAATGGGGGCTGTAGTGTTTGTACCAAATGATGCAGATTTCAGAATACCGGACCAGGAGTTTTAGAATAGCTCTCATGCCCTGAACAAGGCTGAAAAATATTGGTTTCCCAGCCAGCTGCCAGATGTAGACTGTGATGAGCTCTACAGCATAGGAAGAAGGAAGTCTGCGAAACCTAAATATACAGAACAGAGACTTAGCATGTTACAAAGTGAACACAGGAAACTCTTACAAACAAAATGCAAGTAAAACAAACACTAACAAGGAGCAAAAATCACTTCATACTTCATGTTGCTATTATCTGCTACAAGCATTATATAGCACTCCCTTTCAATGGCAAACAGGAAGGTCTGTTTTATTCTTTCTTATAAAAGAAAACTAATCTGTAAGGGCATGTATAGATAAAACAGGGACCCTAAATTGAAGCAGTGGGTTTTTACAAACACCATTTCAATTTAGGGCCCTTTAAACCCCCATATTATGCACATACCTGAACTTACCTGCCTCTGGTGGCGGGGAGGAGAGGGCGAGCTGCTGACAGGTGGAGCAGTCCCTGGGCTGCGGGGGCAGGGAGGGGGGAGGAGGCTGGTGCTTCCCTCCATGGCAGTGGCGCCCCCGCCCCCATTGGCCCCCGGCTCAGACAGTCCCGGGGGGCACTGCAGCTGCAAAGGAAAGTACCAGGCCCCCATACAGCTCAGGTAGGAGGCAGGCTCCAGGGGAAAACAAAAAGATCAGGCTCACTGCTTTTCTTGGGCAGAGCCTGCCTTCCTGGGCTGCTGCCAGGCTGCCTGCACAGGCTTCCTATGGAGCCCCTGAGCTGCAGGGAGCCCGGTGCTTCACTCCACGGCTGTAGAGCAGCAAACTAAATCTCCCTGGAGGAGTTTTAGTTTGCTGCAGCCCAAGTCATTTAAGGTGCATTATACCACCAAATTTGCAACAGTGACTGGAATTACTGCACAGTATGCCACTGACACGTGCAAACACCAACACCACTAAAGCAGTGCAAAAGCATTTAACCCACTTTAAAGTGTTGTTCACACATGCCCCTCATTTCATCTACACATGGCCTAAGAGGGAGAATCAGACATCTTGGAAACATTAGGAATCCAGGACTAAAAGGGACATCTGAGGTTATGGAGTCCAGTCCCTTCCTATTACAGGCAACCATGTCACATAATCTTCCCATAAAACCATTTAGGCCCAGATTAAAACTAGTTTGTTTTAAGATTGTTCCAGAAACTCACTCCTTTGATGCTTAAACATCTTTGGGTGTCTACAAGTGCTCCTGCAGAGCTGCTCTAATTAAAATGCTGCAGCATCACGTGTATTTCAGTGTTCTGCATATCAAAATGGCCATGGGGCCCTTTAACTAAAGCTCATTTAACAAGTTTTAATTAGTGTCCTTGCTGCCATTTTGAAACACGGGACACTGAATACACAGGATGCTGCAGCACACAGGAGCGTCTAATTGGAACGCTCCAGCAGACTCAGTTAATTGAGTCTGCTCTAAAACATACTAATTAGAACACGTCAGAGCATGTGTATAGGCACCCTTTGATGGTGTGCAAATATGACAAAATCAGGTTCCTTAAAACATTTCCAAAAGATAAAAAAATATATCAAAGAAAAGGAAATTTCATATACTCTCCAGTGTAAATTCCCTGGGGGCTACAAAGCCATAATTAGAGCTGGTTGAGAATGATTCAATTATTTATATTGTTTTGTTAGAAAATTCCAATCCAAGCAAATGAATTGTTGGAGCATATACACCAGTTTAAACAACATTTCTTCAATCCAGGATGAATTATTTGGTGAGAGAAAGACACCCCAGAATAGCCCAGCAATTAGCCCATGTGATGTGAGACACCAAAATCCAAACAGAGCCAGAATTTGAATCTTGGCTTCCCACATCACTAGTAAAGGCCCTAATAACTAAGCTTTTGACTATTCTTGTGTGGATTACAGGGTCCTCCTTGGCCCAATGGATTCTTAACTGTTCCAAAAGGAAAACCTAAAAACACCCACTGTAGAATATCCTCATGGGTAGTGAAGCTGTTTCCACTTTTTTGGTCCTGTGGCGCAAGTCCAGTCCCCACACATGGTCCTACAGTCAATCTCTCCTACCTTCACATACCACCTTAAACCCTTGCTGCCACCTTAATACACGTAAGCATAATGATGCTAAGCACTATCTATGATACAGTTTGGCACTACCTATGCATAGAGACCACACACCATACTAGTAAAATGGATTTGAGAAAACCTGCAAGATATTCCACAAACACTTCAAAATACTATAAGTTCATGACAAAGGGCATCATCTGAAACTTAATGAACCTAATGAAAATGAGGGAAATAGTCTTACTGATTTAAATGGAACTTTCTTTGATATCCCAATGGATCTAGGCATTGTGTATACTTTTTAATGAGAGGGTTAATTTCCCAGTGGGTGGTAGACTTAGTGAGTGCTGGCCTTTCATATAGGATGTTGTTTCATATTATTCACTATGCAGAACAGAGTGCACATCTGAATCATAATGCATACAGTAAGCACAATACTGTTCTGTATACATTTTTCTTAAACTGATTCATCTTCAACATAAATGGGACATTTATTACAGCATAAATAAATTATTAGGTGGAATTATTTCCTAAGCATCTATGATAAACGATAATATTAAATAATTTAATGAAAGTGGCTTTTAGCTCCCGCAAACATGAAGGGAATTTGAATCCACCAAAGCAAGAGCAGTGATTGGATACAGCAAGGAATTCGCCACTATCAAAACAATCACTTCCTCTCAATGTCAAGGAAAGGTCATTCTCTAGTGAAACGTAGCATACAGAGATAGTAGAAACCTGCCAGCTCATCTATTGTATACCCTTACTAATGTAACACATCAAACAAACAGCACTGTGGTATTCACAATTTTGTTCACCTTATCACTTCTTGGTCTCTTTCTCCACCACACACAAGATGCACAGAACCCTTCACTTATGTATCATCACTTGATTCAGCATGTGGAGCTTACTCTCAGATCCACACAAGACTTGGGGACCAGATTTCCTACCAGTACCCTCAGGACTACAAGAAAATGTCATATGTACCTCTCTGCACCAGCATGGGATCTGGCAACTAGCAGAAAGAGGAAGAGTATTTAGCTTTCTTGGAGAAAACAGCCTTAATTTCCATTGAGGTCTTCATAAAAGATGTGTCTCAGTAGGCTGCAGAGGAAACACCTTGAACCACTAAAAAGGTCATGGTCATAGTTCCTCAATCACCAGCAGCACCCTCCTCCCCACTTTTTCATTTGAGGAAGCTGGTGATATGGCTCTTGATGTGCCTTCCTTCATAGTATTTTTCCTGCAACTGCAAACCCAGAAGCAAATCCAGTCCATATGCCCACATAACTATGAGTCGCTAACTATGAGTCAGAGTTCTGCTATTACCTGCTAAATTTGTATGAATTTCTGGGAACATAAACTTGTGCTGAAATTGGTGAAATTATTTAATGCAGTGACTAAGCATTCATTAATTATTTCCTGCATATGAGATGTCTCTGACTGTTGTTCTTCTTACCCCTCATAGTATATTATGTGATATGGTATGATAAAATGCTTAGATATTGTATTGGAAAACAGTATGATTGCTGGGATTTTTCTGAATTAATTACAAGCTTGGAAATGAATCATTTGTGTGGATCACATCTCAGAACAGGAGATCGGCAGCAATTAGAACACCAAATTGCTTCTACTTTAATATTATATAGTGTTACATACTTCTTCATTTAACTGCTCTACTAAAATGGACTGAAAGGGGAAAAATACAGGGTTTTAGAAAATATAAAACTATTATAAAGTAGGGCTGTGTAAAGCTTCAGTCGCTGATTCAATTCAGAGGAGATTAGGCCCGATTCGGCAGCTGATTCTCTGAATGGGAATTGAATCAGGAGACCCATTAAACTCTAAATGGAATTGGAAGCCTCCAATTTAATTCAAAGAGATTCGGAGACATTCAATGATTTGGATGTAGACACAGCTTTATATGGTTTTTTTCTACATACCTCAAGGTACCAGGCAGTTTGTGAACACTGAGATGGTGGGGCGGATGGAGCGTCCCACAGGAGCACAGGGGGGCCCCCCATTTGCTCAATGGTGAACCTGGAAGTGAATCAGAAGCACTTCTGGTCCACTTCCGGGTCCGCTGCAGAGCACACAGGGGACCCCCTGCCTTCCTGGCTTGGCAACTGGTGTCTCCTGGGTCTGGGGGGGCACCTGGGATCCCCCCCATGGCCGATCGCCAAGCCAGAGGGGCACGGGGGGGTCCTCTTCATGCTCAGTAGTGGACCTGGAAGTAGTGGACCAGAAGTACTTCCGGTCCATTTCCGGGTACGTGGCAAGCATGTGGCGCCCCCCACCCTACTACCCCACTGCGCTCCTGTGGGATGCTGCATCTGCCCCACCATCTCAGCATTCACAAGTCATGCCTGGTACCTCGAGATATGTAGAAAAAACATTTAAAGCTGGTCGAATCGCTGATTCTCTGAATCAGAATTGAATCTTCAGATTTGGATTCGGCCGAATCAAATCAGGACAGTGATCTAAATCAGCAAATCTAATCACTGTCCCCAAAATAGGGCTGAATCCGAATCCAAATTGAATATGGCCCACTTTGCACACCCCAAAAATGGGCTTTGTAGAGTAAGAAAAAAATTAAGCTGTTTTAAAAGAATCTAAATGGATGTCAGAGACTTATTTCTGGAAAAAAACAGGAGAAAAAGAGAAGGCAAAGAATCACCTGAAAGTCAATGGAAACAGAAGTACAGAAGTGGGAGCAATCTAAAGATTCTAACCTGGGGTGAATTTATTAATTTATCCTCAAAAGGTCTTTATAGAGGAGCATATTATCATTGCTCATTTTATAAACAAGATTATATTATATTCTCATTTTATAAATAAAATTAAAGTAGCTTGCTCCAGGTCATAAAGGAACACTAGGGACTATTTGGCAACTGAACCCAAGATCCAGTGGGTCTGATCCAGAAGTCACCCTTCCCTTGCTTTGCCTTCCAGAATATACATACCTCCTACATACTAAACTAATTGCTCTGATTACTGGTATAAAAGAAGTCAGCACATGTCCCATATTTTAGAAAGCTCAGCCTAGTCAACCATATTTGCTTTACACATAGCTATTCTGTTCGGCTGAAAGGACTTTGGAAATAGTGTTAAAAAATCCCAATCATGCATTTGTTAAATCTGTCTCACAGGTCTCAGAGATAGGGAGTCTTCTATCCCAGTGAATAACCTTAACCATAACAGAACCGCAAGACTGTATATTAATGGTGCTAACATAGCTGTGGAGTATTTTCTTTTCTCCTCCTCCCTCATCTTGGTGCGAGATGCTGCATAATCATATCACAGTCTGGACTGGACTTAAAACAGTCATTAGTATGTCATGGTGAAACATGATATAGGTATCTCATGCATCATATAAGATGTGTTTTACAGTACTTTGCTGTTCATTAAAAAAGGGGAGTTAAAAGGAGGGAAAGGCCTACCTATTATTCAGCTGTTAGTACATACCTATTTTGTTCCATTGGCATAGCAAATGAAGTCCTGAACCAATACTTAACCAAGCGTATCAGAGCTTTCACCTGCACAGTGCATTCCTTGATAAACTCAACCTGGTATGGCAGCAGAGACATCGTGTACAGCTGGATTTTGTCAGTATCGTGGCAGAGATAGAGATTGTGGTAAAAGCTCCATTTTAAACCTGTTAACCCCAAGAGATACAGAATGCCACAATGATTCTTTCTTCCCTACTATTTTGTTTCATCAGATTTAATAGTGAAGCTGAAAAACCTACTATGAAGTCCTTTCATATATCATACAAGCCAATAAAATTAGCAGAGCTCTCCTATATCCAAATAAAATTAAATTTACTTCAAGTCAGATAAAAACACATTAAACCCAGAAACATTATTTAAAAAATATTACGTTTAACCAATCTAATCTTTTATGTACGAGGATTATGCTAAAGCTGCTTTGTTCACCTAAACATATTGCAAAACCGCTTAATATATTGCCTTTGATTGACAGCAATTATGTACTGCATATATGGGGTTAAAATAATACTTTCTACTGAGTTATAATCTGATTTTTCTGTCATTTTAAATCATTGCATAATCTGTTTACAAAACAGAAAATCATAAATGTACTTTTTTTTAACCAACTTAAGCCAAAATCTTTCAATACATGCATGAGTGGCAAAATGAGTGCCTGGTGCATACATCATTTTTCTGACTTTGTACAGCTAATGTTTATGCAGTCAGCTGTAGAACTATCTACTTGTCTGCATAAGAACCTGATTTATATATGTGACAGCCATCACTGTGAGGAATTACTCTGTATCAAAATCAAACCTTTTGCACTAAGTCAAGATTAATGGTTTTCACACATGGAAGTTGTCAAAAAGAGATGTCACATAAATAGAATGGTATGAAATTAGTATAGTATGGTATAGTATAGTATGTCACATATAGTATGGTATGACATCAGTTAAAAGAAATCTCATAAACTTGCAGCTAAGTACACCATATACAAGAGGCTGTTTAAGTACAGCAATACCTCTGCCCTATGTGAGTGTGTTTTCTGGGGATGGATAGGTGCATCATATCATATCATATCATATCATATCATATCATATCAATATGGAATCAAAGAGATTTACTATAATTAGTATGTGGCAAGGCAAAAAGATTATGTCCCTCAAAACCAAATACTGTAGCTGTCAAGACTGAGGTAGTCCTAAAACATGACTTTGAACAAGTTTCATTGAACACCTACCTGTTGATGGCGCAGGCCCCAGCATTTCATAACAGGGCATGATATCAAATGAGTGACTGTGGAGATTCTTATAGCACTTGAAATTAAATCGTAAGGAGAACTGGGTCCTTTTCTTCATTGCTATCCTAACATAAGCATTTTTAATAAAACATTACTTAACCATAATATGGAAGGGAGGTAGTATGTAAGGGTTCAGCTATATAGAATTGTGGATGTAGACAAATGACTGGAAAGTCTCTCTCAATGCACATGAAAAAAAACACATACATGCAAAAGAAAGGAGAAAGAGCTGAAAAGGAGAAAAGGCAAAATATTTGAGTGAATGAGTAAAGAGAAAGAGACTGAAACAAGGGGAAAATGTTGGGTGAGAAAGAAGAAATGAAGTATAAAAAAACCCAAGTAAATTAATGTGCATTTATATAAACAGAATAAATGAAAGAAGATAATGGAATACAATATATGCCCAATAGGAAGAATCAAAGCAATATGATGAAGATACGAAAGCAGAAAAATAGTAACAAAAATGAAACCACGCTATATTTAGAAAATGTCTTGGAAACTGTGAGAAAAAAATTGAGACAGACAAACAGTTAGCCTGAGCCAAGTGTTATTATTTCCAAAACAAACTCTACAGAATTTCTGTTCCTCATGATTTTTTTTTTCCTAATTGGAATGAAACCACTTTCCTGAACACAGAAAAGTCCCGAGAAGCAGTAATTCCAAGTTTGGAGGAGATCTATCTGCAATTTCACAATCTGTTACTCAAAAGGAATATTTTTGTAGTTTCCAGAATGGAACAGGGTTAAATAAAGATTAGAAGTGAACCAAACTGGCCAAGAAAGACAGGATCCTTAACAGGTTTTATTTCGAATTAGGCTGGATTGCCACTGAAGAAAAATTCATGAGGGCGCACCCTTTGCTTTTCATGCTTTACTTCCAGAAACCCAGAGCCTAGAGATCGTATTTCCACAACACATTCTTTTCCTGGCTAGGAGACACAGGATTCCCCTTAACCCTAGGTCTGCTGCCTTCAGGAGTTGTCCTTATGGATCACCAGGGATCACAATAAGGCAAAAGCTTAAAAAAAGATACTTGGGTATTTGTTTCTACCTTGAATAGAGCTTACTTTGCCCATGAGTAGTCAATAAAGTGGGGGGAAGGGCAATACTTCCCAGTATTGAAAAGCAATCTGTGTTGAGTCCAGCTCAGTTGTCTATCATCACACTATAAAGTGAGAGAGTGAGGGGTGCAGGTGGGAGAAAAGGGAAATCATGGTGGTTCTGACAAGATACCATTTAAGTCTTTAATGGGGATTTTAGCTATGGCTTTATTGAGAAGCACAGCTTTATCTTGTGCCAGTTTTCTATTTTGGCTGTTATGTTGTGATTTTACTGCTGTGGAGTAGGCAGACCTGTAAAGCTCATCCTGAGATGGCAGTGTGACATCCAGCATAAGAAAAATTCCTGATACAGAGACTATACCCAACCATTTTGATTCAAACCTGTTGGCCCATGAAGACTTCTTCAGTCTTTTTCCTAAATCATCTATAACCTCTGGCAATTTCTTTTTGCAGTCTTCCAGATTTTCAAAGGCTTCACTAAATAGCACTATATCAACATCTGACCAGACTTGAGTATCCGTTCCTTTTATATACGAGTCTCCCTGTAACATAAGAGATTGCCAGAAAGATGACTAATATTTTCCCCTCTTGACAAAACATTTCCCTTTTGCTGGCTAACCAGGCTTTGGATGCCCTTTAACTTCTCGTGCCCAGCTACATGGAAGCAGTTTATTGCCTCGTGTTACAAAAGTATAATGGAATTTGGGCCCCATGCAGAGGTCTTTCTAAATGGCTTTGGGTTATTAACAGAGTTTAAAGCACCATTGTCTGTTTCTACCTTAGGGATAGAGGGATTGGGTTCAATCCCCACATTGCAAGACCACATCATGGCTTGCTGGGTGGGGTTTTTAATATGATGTGGCCTTATTTATAGTCTCCAGTTATGCTGAGCTGCCATTAAGAGTAGGAAGAGACAGCCAGAGCCTTGATGAAATTGGGTATCAAATATATTTAATTTTCTAAAAGAGGTGCTTCTTAGTCACTATTCAACTTGCTACCCAATAAAACTGCATCCTGTATTATATGACAAATAACTTCTCCTGTTTTTATCAAATATATTTTAAGGAGACATATCTATCCATGAAGACATAGATTTATGCTTGAGATTTATTCCTCACTACAAACCCTGCAGTGAAGTATAAGAAGTCCAACTAAGCAAACCTTAACTCATGGCAATGAACTTGTCCTTTTGCATTTGGTATTGAATGAGCATTTTTATAACAGTAGACTGGCCCTTCTGCCACTAAAAGTTGTCTATAATTCGTAGACAAACTAAGTCCATTTCTCAATAGGCAGATGCCTGCATCAAAAATCACCACTAATGCTAGAAGAGAAGCTTTGGGTGAAACAGGCATGAAGGCTGTATGTCCTCTTCCCTGCCCTGCCAGAAATGGCCTCTGCATACCAGAACAGAGGCGTGTTGGGCTGAGGAAGCTAGTACAGGTTCTGTCTGTGCTATACCAGTCCTGCAGGGATATAATGGGCTTCAGTCTCCATGGAAGTCATTTCAGCAGTTTCCAGAATGTTAAATGGGCCAGCAATATGCCTTATATAAAATAGTATGAAAACAAATTTGTCCAATTAAACAGATACTCTAAAAGAGCCACTGCAATTATCAGGGAGAAGGCATAACATGCTAGATGCACTTCAGAGACAAGCAACTTGTGGATTCTGTCTTTCAGTACTAGTCTTCTACAGAAAGATCAAACCCTAGCAAAATACAGAAAATTCAAATAATGCTCAGGGTTAGTCCTTAAATCTAAACCATGAGGAAGTTCAGCATTTATAAACTTTCTCTCACTGGACTCTGCCAATGCAAGATGAGCTTATGAGACACATTTATACAGGCTGCAATGGAACAAGAGAAGAAACTACTATTATTTCTTCTCTTAGGACTCTCATAGATGTGCAGCGAGGCTGCTCCAACGTGCTGTAAATCGATTAATCGTGTCTGCTGGAGAGCAAAAATTAACATGCTCCAGCAGCCTCCAGCTTCACCTGTATTAGCATTCCCATACTGAAAAATGGTGGTAAGGTGCTTTAAACTAAAACTCATTCAATGAGCTTTAGTTCAAAGCACCCGTCGCCATTTTTCAGTGCGGAGACACTGATGCATGTGAAGCTTGGGCATGTTAACTAGCGCAGACAACTAGTTAAAGCACCTCCCCCACCTCCCAGATCACATCTATAAATGCTCTTAGAGCCCAAAAATGGTTACCTTGATTAGACTAGCTACTGGCAATGGGAAGTATTCCTTGATCACACTAATAATTGCCTCTATTTCCACAGCACAGGCAATGCTCACAGGGCCTGAGATAGGTCGAAGCTTTTCTTGCACAAATGCTTGTAGTTCTTGTGGAGTTCTATACTCCAAGATGTTCCCAGGTGAAAACCCAGTGGACATTTGAGCTGAAGGGAAAAAAAATTAAAGTTTGATCATTAATATTTACTAGAAAGAATCTCTCATTTCTTGGTCTCTCATATCACTTTTTCAAATTAAGTTGAATTTATCTCCTGTGGGGAGATGCTAAGAAAGTCTCCTGTACAAGCTTGCATATTCGTTAGCTGGCCTACTCATGGCAACACATGATCAATTACACATTGATCAGATTTGTAAAGTTTCAGTTTTTAATCACATGCTTGTGCAATAAATCAGGTTTTTATTTCTTACTGATTCATCTTACTGCTTCTGATTTAAGGGGGTTAAGCATTTTGATTTGGCCAGACCTAGGAGGCATTTACTTTCCAATGCAGCCTTTGAATTGTTTAGTTACTTCTTACAGTAGGCTGGGAGACATGAAGATGGCCTGCTGCACACCAC